GGGGGTGTCCCCTCTCCCTGCTTCCCGACTGCAAACTTCTTGCAGGGCTTGAGGAAACGGGCGCTGTGGGTGAATGAGGCAGAAGCCCACAGCTCGCCCTGTTCACCCCGCCTTTGTAAAAAGCCTCCTTCATCTGCTGGTCGCTCTGGTATCTCAGGAGCAGAAAGCCAAGCGGAGTTTGGGGTGTGAGTAGCCTTAGCGTAGAAACGAGAACGGCTGAAGCTGTGAGTAGCTCGGAATTTTGTTGCGCGTCTCCTTCGTGTCGCCCAGGGAGCTGAGCTATCAAACGCGGTGCGGCTGATCGTGAGCCCCAGAAAGGACCATCCAGAACCCACAGCACAGCAAAACTCGAGCGCAGCAGATGTTTTATTACTGGGCTTATTGTAAAATGTGCAAACAGGCGGTCGTCCCGCGTTGCTCTTTTGCAAATCGAGCGTGGCGAGTTTTACAACGGTGGGATTTGGCTTTCAGTTTTAAACGGATCAGGAGAGCGTAGGGCTGAGCGGGATGTCCTGGTATCGCTGTCGGCTTTAGGGTGTAATCTTGTTTGGAAATTGATCCAGCTCATCTTGAAATCCAGCCTTGAAGAAAGGGCGGGCCGCGGGCCTTACACCTTCCTCTGCACCTCCTTGCTATGTCTCGTGGCTATACGGTTGCATTTCGTATTTTTGCGATGTGAAAAATTGATGTGGAAACAGTGAAATGAGAACAGAAATGCTAAATGCCGTTGACGGTACAACGCTTGGTAACTCTTCTGCTCCTTCATCCCCTTTCAGTAAGCGCCGACTTGTTTCTGCCAGAAGTTCATAATGGTTTCATATTGGGTGTGAATCGATGTTGAGTCTTAATATTGTCGGGTTTTTTCTTTTAAATTTCAGGTAGAAACAGAAAAACGGGGAAATACCACAGCATGCTAATAGCAGATGAAAAGAGTGTATTTTCAGTTCTTGCTGAGTATGATTGAAAAGCTATGTTATTAGCTTTTTCAAAATTACTGGGGTCAATAGAGCAATTTGATACTGCGCTAGAGATGTGTAAGCAGTACCTTGCTGAAAATTGTTAGTTTCGAGTGTTTGCTGATATTTATTTACCTAAAAACTACCTGGAAGAGCTGCAAGAGTGAAGTTCTGATCATTTGTAATTACTGCCTAGCTGAACGGTTAAGACAGTAATTTTGGGTAAGCCAGGAAAAGACCACTGCTAAAAAACTTAATAGTGAAGAACCAGCCTGGATATAGTATTTTTTCCTTGAATTACAGAGTAGTTACAGTAAACCTCCCTCCCCACCCAGCCTGCCACTAGCTCACAAACCGTATCGGCTGACTGAGTGGTAATCAATGACTATGCAGTTTGGGCGGTAAAGTGTCTGCTCATCTATAATCCATGAAGTTCTGTGTCTCGATCAGACTTCGCTGGGCAGCTGTAAGGGGATACTGGGGCAGAAAAACACGGTGTAGTTGAAGCCGCCTTTGGCTTACTGACTTTGGCCATTGTCCTCAGGGCAAAGAAATCACGTGTAATCAGAAGCTTATGATGTTTCTTTTAAGTGATAAGCTTTGGTGCCACAATGTGAATGACTTTTCTTTCAAATAAAAAGACAATCTGGTAAACAACAGCTACTTTTCACGTTAAACGGGGTATAGTTGAAAACAACTTAGAGATTGGAGAAAATATTTATAGCTGAACTGCTCTGCCATCTCACATGGATGTCACATCTCACATGTAAACACACTGTGTTTACACCTGGTCCTTGAGTTGAATTAAAATACAGTGCTCTTAATTTGCCTAGGTAAAACATGAAATTATTCCTGGACTTGGTACTTAATGTACTTAAACAGCATCTTGATAAGCATATAAGAAATCACCTTCTGAAATCAGTCTTGCAAAACTCTTACGAGGATCTGTGAAACCAACGGCAGAGGCTGGGTGACAGGTTCCTTCTCTACCTTTTTCCTTCGCGGGCAGCATGGTTCTGTACTTGCTGCTAAAACTTCTGAGAGAGAGAGGTACATAATACTTTTGAAAGTCAGATCGTGCACTTTCCACGCAAGTACTTTTCTGAAAATGAATTCCCCGTACAGGCTCCTGAGAAGAAAGATTAGCTCTTCTAACATGTTTCTTGCAAGGGACAGTTGGGAGGTTTTTTGTTTAATTCCATAATCTCCTGTACTAAAATGAATACCTGTCACGCACTGGAACATTACTTATCTAATAAAATGTTCTGGTACTAAGGAAACAAAACAGAGCATGGATTTCTTTTGTCCAAAGGATTATGTCAGTGTCTTTGAAACTCAGAGGTACTAGTATAGTCATTGCAGATGAATAAAATTGGTAGCACCCTGAGAATTGCTACATTTTAGTCAAAAGGATGAAGTAGGTGTGATTGATGTTCAGTGGTTTTGCTGTTTTTCTGAAGAGAATCGCCTTCAACATGCATTTTGTCTTCCTTCACTTTAGGAATTAAACCAACTGATATTTTTTTTTGTTGTTGTTGGTTTTTTTTTTTTTTTGTTTGTTTTGCTTATGTGGTCCAAGAGAGGACTTGCTTACTACAAATGAGAGGATGTAATAACGAAGTTTTGGCCCTGGGAGTAGAATCTGGAATGGACACAGTGCAGTGCTTATCAGTGGGTTTAAACTGGAAGATATAAAATTGAATTGATGGTTTTATTCCTTCAAATGGAAAAATTTTAGAAAATCAAGCTTAACACCCATTGTCTGTAGTACTTTAAATTGTGTAAAAAGCGCATAAGATTTGATTTGTATTTTGTATCTTCTTGGTCAGTGGAGGCAAACGGAGCAGTACATGGAGAACAGTGTGAAAAGTACTTGAGAGAATACTGAATTTTCAGGATAGTATTTGAAATTGGAAGTTTCAATAGACTAACATTAAAAAGTGTGCAGCACTAGTACGCTGCTGAACAAGAACAGGTCATCAGATAAACAGCTGCAACAAACCAGAGTTTGTTGCAATGCACTACTGCGTGTGTACATTAAAATTTTAGTCTGGAGTAAAAATGCACTTA